AGACACAGTACAATCACCTTCACTGCTAGAAATAGGAAGTGGAGCCCTGTGAAGAGAATGGGAAAGCCCTGGGCCAAGGCCAGACAGGGATCAGCAGGTCCATTACTGTGAGTTAGCACCCTAACTACTGTCTGTTTTCAACTTGTCATCTCTCTTCCTCCAGGGCCAATCAGCTCTTCACTGACAGCTACTAGGCTACTCATAGCCCTCTCCGAGAAGGCTTTTGTTTCTAGTGAAAGGACAAGAAGAGACTGCTGGCTATTTGCGCTTGCTAATGATAATTCTGATTAGCTCAATTTTGTCAGCTGACTGAGGCGAACAAGGCCAACAGCAGCTGCCTCTTCAGTCAGGCCTGGCCCATTTTCCAATTACCAGCATCATTTGGGCTCATTTCCTCCAACTGTGAACTCACTGGAGCGCGGGTCATCTTCAGCTGCACTCAAGAACTGGCTGATCTGTTACGTCTGCGTTTGTCAGTGAGCCAGCCTCCCCCGCCTTAGGAAGAGCCAGTGAAATGACATGTGTTCCCCTAGGTCCCAGGCAGCCACTGTAGAAGCTGAATAGTAGGCCCCAAGAGGGAAACAGAAGGCGAGTCCTAGAGGTGGAAAGCCATGCTGGCCTTGACTTCTTCCCAGCCTCTGAATTCCAGACTCTGCTCCCAGTAGGAAGGGAGCCTGTTAGGGTGGCCAACCCTCCGAGGTTTTGGTACCCAGGGTCTTCTCAGGACATGGGACTCTCAGTGCTACAACTTGGAAGGTTAGTCCCCCTGTGAGGGCATTCAGTATTTTCTGGGTGACATCTCTGGAATCTGGACAGAGAATGACTGGGGACTGTGGTCCTATCTTACAATGTGTCTCTTCACTGTTCAGCACCTTATTTTGCTTTCATTCTCTCTTGCAAATCAGATAGGAAGACATACTATTTTCAGTATACAGATGTCTATGTGGGGACTCTGCAGCATGTCCTGAGATAAGGGTGGCATCAAAGAAGGAATGACTGCGGTGTGATCCTTTTGTATGGGGTCATCTCAACCTTAAAGGCTCTCCCTAGTACAAGAACATATTAAGTATTTGAAACGTACTAGGTACTACGGAAAATAGAGGCTGATATACTAAGGATGTTGATGAGGGCAGTAATTATATATCAGGCTCTGTGGACAGCATGTCCATATCATCTAAGAGTGTTGTATTTGTGGATTCTTATTGCCTTCAGCCCCCAACTACCTGATGGTAGAGAGGGGTGCAAATATACTTCACTGTATTTACTAGGAGACAAGGGAAAGGGAGTGAGTGCCAGGGAAGGAGAATGGAGGTAACTGCACTTACCATGAGCTAGTAACTTCACCTGCATTCTCTTATTTGACAGTCCAAATTTCTTAAGCACTTAGCATGTCATTAACCCATTTAATTCCACAATGCTATTATGCTTAGTGTATGCTGAAGAAAACCAGGCTCTGAAAAGCCAAATCACTTGCTTAAGGTTGCAAGTTAGCAGGCGAAGTCTCTAAGGCGGAGCCCAAAAGCACATGGGTCTTGTCCCTCGCACCATGTGACACCGAATCAGCTACTTCTATGCTGTGGGAGACACTCCTTCAACAGCAGCAGCTGGGTGGGCTCGGGGACCACAGCAGCGTGGCTGTATGAGAGGGGAAGCATGAGGGAAGCGCCACCTTCCACAGTGTGGGATCCCAAAGCATGGCTCTAGAATGTCCGACCAGCAGTGTGAGGTCTCTGGAAATGCCGGCGTTCTAAAGTAAACTGCCTGGGCAAATGCTGCCCTTCTGGTCCTCGCTGCTTGGATTCACTGAAGAATGTACAACTAGAACCTGAAGGCAAGTGCCTGGCTTCGTTATCCTTTGAGGACTGAGGCTGAGTAACATTATTTTATATACTCTACACTGCACTGTCAATCTCTCAAAAGTATACTTTTCTTGTGCATGTGGAAGATCTGAGCAACTTGCTTTGTACAGAGTACTTAGCATATACACAAATCAGATACAAAGGCATTGATTTATCTGATCCCAGTGTGCACAGTACACTACGGCAGCAGGCTTAGCGCTCAGGTATTCTAGCACTATCAGCTCCTGAAATTCAGCAATAACAACTCACAAATACAATGTTCTTAGGTGATGTGGACATGATGAGTCTGCAGAGCCTGATACATGGTCACTACCCCCATAAACATTCTCAGTCGCTATCCCTGTTTGGTAGCTTTGGGTTTGTGTAAAGGAAATACATTATTTCAGATAATTCAGCATTTTAAAAACATGCTAACATTAATCTTTTCTGTAACAACAGTGAAATGTAAGTGTAGGAAAAGCACTGTTTTAAGCAAGATTTCAAGAAATATAAGCTTCTGAGAAAAAGCACACCTTTCTTGTTCACTTCCACTGTTAATAATTCATGGTTAATCTAATCAGAGTTTTCCTCCCGGGTGCACACAGACGCGCTTATCTAGAACAGTGGCTTGTTCAAGGACTGCCTGCCACCCTGAGACTTCAAGTCAGCTCCTGGCAGTGCCAGGAGCTGGAATCCCTGGAGCCCTTCTTCACTAATAGAAAATAACTGAGAGGTTTGTGATAGCAAAGAAAGGCTTCCTCTGCTTGTGGACTTACACTCAGCTTTAGCTTACAATGGCCTTTCTGCTTCTGTGCATAAAGGAGAAACTGACTTTCCCCTCTACCCATTAATGTTTTGGCTTCTTTAGCTCAGCAAAGTTGAAAGCATGAATGCGTGGGAGAGGTAGTGGCTTTTGAGGAAGGTCGTTTTCTTCTACCGGCACAGGCCTGAAGGGAACTGAACTCAAACGTTTAGAAGCAGCCATTCTATGAGGTTGCAGTGGTCTCCCCAGCCTCTTCATTTGTTTATTTATTTATTTATTTAAATTTATTTATTTATTGTGTGTGTGTGTGTGTGTGTGTGTGTGTGTGTG